GTAGCTGAAATCTGGAAATTGAACGTTATCTCATCTGACTAGTTTCGATCGCCGATCATCCTGGTCTATAAGAGGCCAAAATTCCTCCTGTGACAATCGCAGAGGAATCAGTTTAACTATTATAGTGTCCAAAATATTAGCCCTAATAATGCTTCTTCGTCTAACTATGGCTAGTGAAAAGCAAACCCGAAAAAACCTGGACGTGCACATATAGATTAAATATTTACCTTTCGGCAACTTCTGGAACATAGACGTCCGACTATTGTTGTTTACCTTGACATGAAAGTGTCGTCCGACTCTACTGATCGTGATGTTTGGTTGGTGTCTTTCGTTGGAAGGCGTATCAACATAGATTGACTAGTAAGCTTCATCATCCTTGCGATTAGTGGAATTTCTGTACGTATGTTGTAAGCTCGTTAGGCATTACCCGTACATGTTGGAACTACGATTTAGGCAGAGAGCAGTGGATAGAGATGGCAAGTCGTTTGATATAGTTAATCTTGGAAAATACTCAACAGAATTGGTTACTACGAGCGTCATCCACTTTCCCTGTTTTATTTGACCTTGTTATAGGCATGCTTTTAAAGATATTATTTTTGTCGTCTGAATTACAAGAAGTTGATTTACCAGAAAATTCTCTTGTTAATTTTAGATACATAACTGACATAGGTCTGTTGGATTAAGATACTGACAAAATTCAGAGTTTACTAGCCATCTTTCGAAATGATGCAAACGTATTTGGATCGCGGTTCTCTCCCTCCAAATACAATCTATCAGCTTACATCACAGCCTGAATTATTGATGGAGAATGAAGTAACTGTACGCCTCAATCGACTCACTTATCTTGGGAGTCTTATTATTTCTGATGTCTGACAAACTTTCTGCGTGAATTCAGAAGGCTAGTTTGATTTTTGTCAACATGTGTCCTTGCGGCGTAGGAGAAATATCCGTCTTCCAACCAAAGGAAGTGTATACTATTCATCAGTTCTTTGTATTTTAGTTTATGAATGGGAATCATGACCACTAGTATTAGAGAATATTGGTGGTTCACTGGTATATGTTCGTATTTAGTCATTACGCTCATTTCATAAAATAACCGAATGAGCAATATTGAAGTTCCGCATCAGTCAACTACAACGTGAGATCAGGCGCACATGCAACGGTCCAAGTTGCCACACCTCACTGACATAACAAGATGAACACCGAATTCATCGAAGTGGTCATTTCATTGGTAGAAATATATGAAATAAAGATTGTGTACAAGGATATGATACATGGAGAAAGATATAAAGCGATTTTAATCTCATGTTTTATGGGAACACAAAGAGTGTATACACCGACGCCGTTGTAATAGATTCTGAACCCTGTCACCAAGAATACTCGTCCCTTAATTAATAGACGGATATCTCGCCTTCGCCATAGGTGACGTACATTGGCAAAAGTCAGACGAGTTATTTGATTCCATGCTGAGATTTCGTCAGACACCAACCCATTAAAGCTGATCAGACTTCCAAGATAAGTGAAGTTGTCAACGCGTTCGACTACTTCACTCCCTAACCTTAGTTCAGGTGTAGACACAGGCCAGTCCTGAAGCAACAACTTGCATTCAGAGGGAGAGAAGTGCATTCCAAACATTCTGGCATTGTTGCTTAGTGCTATTAAAAGTGTTGAGGTGATCCAGAAAATTGCTTACAAAAGACAAGCAAGCATCAAGAAACACTAAGAAGCGTTTCGTCCAATCAGCGTTCACTTGGAGTCTTGGCCAGAAATATCAAGGAAGCGAAACGTCGCATGCAGAGGCTCTGATTGGTTGGCTGCTACACTGCTACTATGTCTGGTACCATTCCAAAATATTCCAGCGACCCAACGACATTTAAAATAATATAAAAGCCCTATATTTCTTGCATTAAAATGAACCTTGGAGTAAACTACTTCTCGCATACTTTGAGTCTTCTCTCTCGTGTTCTAGTCGCTGTATAGTTCTAGCTTGAGGGTTACAGAATAGCTTAGGAGACGAATATAGCGTTCAATCTGCAAGACTTATCAAAAAGATTCTGCATTTTATCAGCGTCCCCACCACCACAGGACTATGTCATCTGCGTATTCTTAGTTAATAAATAGACCTCCTGGGAAGAGACTAATGCCCGAAGATTGAGTCGACGAATACGTTATTTCCATCAGTATGCCTTGATGGACACCACTTGAAGTTGCAAAACCAGATGACAGTTCGCCATAAGCTCTGACTCAACTGGTAGTGTTAAAGTAAAGAGCCTTCAAGTACAGACAGTGATAAAGAACCTCTCGTTCCTCAGAGTCAAATGCTGCTCTTAAATCAAGTAAAACTGTCATTGTCGAACGCTGATAGGCATGCCTGTGTTCTAGAACCTGACAAATGGTGAATATATGGTTGATTCAGCGACGACCAGGTCTGAAGCCAGCCTGATTTCCTCGTGTTTGCAGTTCACGAGTCTTAGTTAGGCGTCCGATAATTATTGAGGCTAATATTTCAGATGCTACATTAGTGAAACTAATCCCTCTATGGTTGTGACAGGATTATTTTGACCCTTTCTTATATATTCCAAACATTCTGGCATTGCTGCTTAGTGCTGCCGAAAGACTGCATTTTATCAGCGTCCTCAACGCAACAGGACTGTGTCATCTGCGTATTCTAAGTCTATAAAAGGACCTCCTGGAAGGAGATCAATACCCAGAAATTCAGTCGACGAGAACTTTATTTCCAGGAGTAAGTTTACAATGTAATTGAACAAAGATGGAGAAAGTCGACAGTTTTGACAGACACCACTTGAGGTTGCGAAATCAAACTCTAGGTAAGGATGGTAAATCAATTTATGAAATAGTAAGTATTACTTAACTGTGTTTAGGATATGTGTCCACGTATGATTATTTAACAACTATCTCAACCTGCAAAGATGGTCGACACATAAGTTGGAAAACATTTAGGCGCGTCATCAGTTGATCAAATTATTGAAGTTGGGTTGAGCCATTTTGTTATATATAGACTAACCACATTGAATATATACGTTTATCGTAATCAACGATTGCAAAAATTATTTAGCAGAGGTCAACATCATTCACAACCATAGATGCAGATATGGTCGATCTGGTTCTGCATAGTGTGATGTGATGAGATCCTTGTAGCTTTGTGTATGCATTTGTAGCGGAATATAGTGCCACCTATAATCATTTCAATTGGAATCATGAGCCCATCGGTGGTAGAGCTCTATTAAAGTCTGAAAGCACTGGACGGCTGTTTTGTTATAGAATGGGATTATCTTGCACTGAGTATCCACGATCCCATACGTGGGAGTCGAGCCCAGGACCTTCTATATCTCACGTAAACTCTTAACCTCTAGATCACTGAACCGAGATTTATCTATGTTGATATCTAACTCCAACCAATGCACGATATTTCACGACCATGTTTGTTAGGTTCGTTAGGCTTGAATGCTACTACTGATTCGGCTTATTCAGAACGGAACGAAGGATCAAGGATTCAGAGACTCGATAGGCTATTCTGGTCCGTTGTCCTCGACTCAGCTAACTCGATCAAGAAGTCTTGGAAAGGCGTAGAAAGTGTCTTCTACAGGCAAACAGCAGATACCAAGTCAAGTCAAGCACACAAATCAAGCGTATTCATACAAATATTTATAATCGATATTGTCATGGAAAATTTTTAAACATTAATCAATAATTTCATCAATTGGTTGCTATTTAAACATTTAATCGATAAGTTCATCAATTGACTTATTTGCACATTTAATCGAAAAGTTCATCAATTGGACTACCATTCAAATATTTAAACATTTAATCGATAAGATGAAATTACAAAATATGAGTTTTGGGGATCTATCGTCCCCAACAATGTCACATTGTCTTTGTTGGGTAACGGCCTCACCCAGGACAGTTGAATTCCTTTGGTCACAGCTTGTCAGTAGAACTCCAAGAATTACATATAAAAGCTAGTCAGTAGTGAGCATATGAGAATTATCAGTACAGGGTTGTGGAGATTGTTGAGCTATGATTGAGATCATGAACCGATCAACGTTCGTTTGTTGAATACGCATAAATTTGCAAGTCCGTCACCGTTCTTGTTGGGATATTCAGAAAAATATCCCAATAATTATCCTGTTAAGTCTAATGGTGTCCTTGGACTTTAAATGGACATTTCCTATTGATCAATATTTATTTCACTTGTCAAATATTGTACAAATGTTATTTTCTATTTTATGGCACGATGTGGCCTCCTTGATTAGTATATAAACAGAGTATGTCTGAAATATAATGATTCATATCTCAGAGGCTGAGACTTGCATTCTGGACTCAACTGGCTGGTCTAGACAGGGAAGCGGGACCAATCAGATTTCTAGGCCGTTCTTACTTATCTTACGCGTCTTTGAATCGATCGGTAATTCGCTAACTTCTAATCAGCAGCATCTCACGTTACAACAGTTCTCATTCGTTTCGCCCAGTCAGTCCATGTAGTCTCATGTTATGTTGATACCTGGTGTTGTTCATTCCGACTTTGGCGTTTAGGTCTCCTATCAGGATGGTAATGTCCTTTCCTGGGCACTTATCTAGAATTCACTGAGGCCTCTTATTGACTTGGTCATTATGATCCTCATTGCTGTGTAAGTGGGTGCTCCACTGACAATATCCTTAAGCTTACTTATCTTTGTCTTTGAATAGTAATTACTAAGTACACCTTTCAACAGATCAATAATACATAACAGTCAATTATTTACATTCACTTTACTGTAAACATTTTATGACAACTTGTATTTTATTAATCATTAAATACAGACATTAACAGTCCTGATATTGATGTCAGTTAGTTGTTCATTAATTTTTGATTGGCTTATTGTTTTACTTTACATATTTAACGATCAGTTCATAATATTTAAACTGACCTGTCTGCTATAACCAGTATAACAATAGTCTATAACAACATTAGAGATAAAAAGTCATTTTTCAAAACTATGATGTTTCATACGTGTTTAAAGTCGATCATCTTCTTCAGTATATTATTATTTGCTTCATTATTATCATTATGTATATTATATCCTATTCTTTGGCTATTAATCACTAGAGAAACACGTTTAAATCCAGGATCAACTATATACACTGAATGGTCAGAACCTTCAATACCTATTTATATACAATTTTATTTTTTTAATTTAACAAATCCAATTGAATTTCAATCTGGTCATAAACCTCATCTTAAACAATTAGGACCATATACATATCTTGAAAAATGTATGAAATTCAATATTACACAAATAAATGAAACAATTACTTATCAAGAAATAAAATGGTATTATTTTGTTCCAAATTTATCAAATGGTACAGAAAATGATATGATCACAACTATAAATCTTGCTTATATAACCATAGCAACTAAATTCAATGAGTTGCCATGGTTACTAAGTAGAATTATTGAAGAAATTGAAAAACATTTTCATGAATATTTATTCATTAAAAAATCTATTAAACAATTATTATGGGGTTATAATGATGAATTATTAACATTTATATCAAATTATTTTATGAATATCACAACAACTATTGGTTTATTCATTAATAAGAATAATACATTCAGTGATTCTATTACAATTAATAATGGTTTATATAATCATAAACTGATTGGTGAAATTATTAAATATAATGGAAAGAATAAATTATCTTATTGGAAAACATCTACAGCGAATATGATTAATGGTACTGATGGTTCATTATTTCATACCTTTTTAACTATAAATGATAATCCTTATATATTTGCATCAGATATATGTCGATCTATACAATTTACTATAGATTCTATAGTGAAATTCAATCATTTACCAGTTTTCAAATTTATTCCCATGTTAGATACATTTAAATCACCGAAATATTATGAAAAAAATAAAGGATTTTGTTTAGATTGGCCTAATTGTTATGATGATGGTGTATTAGATATGTCATCATGTCAACCTGGTATACCAATTGCTGTATCACAACCACATTTTCTTAATGTAAGTTGAAATTTATTGTATTGTTTGAATGAATTTTAAATATTTTTATAAACTGAATTTTCTATCTTAGGAAAACACTATAATTTGAGTCTCGTGGGGGACTGGATCGTAGATGTGCACTGCTGAGAAGTCCTATACCAGGACGAAATGGCCGTTCAGTACTTTCAGGTTTTCCATTGTGGTCTAGCTTCAACTGACTTATGATTTCACTCAGTGAAATTTGTAAAATCTCCACAAAACCCATTCTGATAATAATTCATTTAGTTTTGGTCAACTATGGAACTAGGGTCACAGGAAACTTCTACTAGAGTTCAAGTTGTACTTTGTTTGATAAGCTAATTGTAGGTTATATATATATATATATATATATATATATATATATATATATATATATATATATATATATAGATTAAATGAAAGATTGTAAACTGTTATATGATAGAAGGGGTTTTTGTGGATATTATATCAATTTCATTAGTTGAGATTATGAGTCAATTGAAGCTAGACGATCATGAAAAATCTGGAAGCACTGGAATGGCGTTTCGTCCTATTGTGGGACTCTTCAACAGTGCGTATCTACGACCTCGAATCGTGAGGTTCGAACCCAGGTCCTATCAGTCTTGCACGTAAGAGCTTCATCATAATAGGATGAAACGGTCATTCAATGCTCCTAGGTTTTCTATGATGATCTAGCTTCAATTAAGTCATGATCTCAACTATTGAACTTAAAAATGTTCATCAAGTTTTCTTGAAAATTATTTAAACATTAGTTATATGATCAACTTATTTTCTGTGTTTATTGTTAAAGCACTTTGATATGGATTTCTATACTGAATGAAGTTCAGACACAAGATTGTTTTGTCGTATTTATTCATAATTAGTTGTATACAATTTCTATCCATGACACAAAATTGAATATTTTGTATTAATTTCTATGTCAATTTTTATTACAAACTAATATCAACTAGTGAATTATTAAAAGATAATTACTAATAGATTAACTTAAAAGAATCTATAGGATTGTGGAGATGATTAAGTTTATGATTGAGATGATGAACTAATTGACGCTATTGTAGTACTCCTTATCAGTGAGCATCTATAATCCCGCTTCGCGAGATTCGAACTCAGGACTAATGAGTCTCGTGAGCGAATGCTTAACCTCTAGACTTCTGAGTCCAAATCCAACATTGTTAATGTCCAATTTCAATCAATCCGTGAAATTATTCAACCATCTTTCATTGTACTGAGGTAGATACCTGTCACTTTATTGATTATATTTATTTACTTAAATATTTCCAATTATCTTTGTTTCATAAATAGGCTAATCAATCTTATCAGAATGCTATTGATGGATTATATCCAACAGATGAGCTCAATACAATGATTTATATAGAACCATATACTGGTTATGTTATTAAAGCGGAAAAAAAACTTCAAATGAATATCTTTATTAAAAATAATCAAAATTTTCAACAACTTGAAAATATTTCCAACATTTTATTACCAATTATGTTTATTAATGAATCGATTGAATTAAATCATACAGTAATCAATCAATTACATAATATATTAATACAAAACCCATACATAGCAACAATTATATTATTGATTATGATTACATCATTTATATTGATTATAGGTTTTATTATTTCATTATATTTTTATCAAACTAATAGAAATCCCCCTGTGTATACACGATATATTAATGATGAAGATAATAATCAGGAATATGTACAAACGAATAGTACTTCTGTAGAGAATATACAAAGTAAACAAGAAGAGGAAAAACAAGAAGAAGAAGAAGAAGAAGAAGAAGAAGAACACCAACGACAACGAGAAGAGGAACGAATAACAATAGCGAATAATCAACAAAATCTTGTAGTTTAATCCATTTATTTTAATGATATTCTAAATATGATTGAATGAAGCACAGGATAGATTTGATCTGATTTGATTGTTTAAATGTTATATATATATGTATACATCAATATATATTTGCTTGATGATTTTAATTAGTCTATCTTGAAGAAGTTGGAACCAGTTCTGATGGATAGAATGAACAAAATCCTGTAACATGATTGATCCTTCTAATGATTTCAAATAATAAAGAGATTCTAAATATAATTGAATGAAGCACAGGATAGATTTGATCTAATTTGATTATGAAAATTTTATATATATATATATATATATTTAATGATTTTGACTGTTCTATCCTGAAGAAGTTCAGACTAGTTCTAATGGACGAAATCAACAAAATTCTATAGCTTGATTAATCCATTTAATGATATCAAAATAATAAACATCGTCAATGTCATTGATATGTTATCATATTTTTCATTCATTTAAATTTGATTATTCCATATTCTTTTTATAATATGGATTTATATAAATAAATAGTCAATGGATATAAACAGTTATTTATACAATTGCCCATTTATATTTCATATTCTTGTTTCTGTTTGTTTGTTTGTTTTTCTACTTTACTTTTAAATTTATTGGTATTGTGGACCGCGGCGTGACTACTCTAATTTCTAACGACTGACCAGCTTCAAATATCCCAGTACGACCTCAAAACTGTTCCCCAATCTCCAATATATCAGAACATGAACCGCAAATGAAAATTGTTTATGGGGTCAGGAGAAGAATAAAAATAAGAATGATACTTTACAGACAAATGGATATTTATACAGTTAGGACTACTGTGAATATTGACCGACAGGAAAATGACACGTGAAATAAATATTCACCAGTAGGAAAATGACACCATTTCACGTTCAAGAATAGCATTAAACTTAACAGGATAATTTTTGGGATATTTTTCTGAATATCTCAACAATTGGGTACATTCAAATTAATCATTTTATTAATACCAGAAGGGGTTTTTGTGGATATTACGGTAATTTCAATAGTTAAGATGATGATAGTTTGATAGGTTCTGGGTTGGAATCTCGAGAGGCTTAGATCATGGATGCAAACTGCTGAGGCGTCTCACAACAAGACGAAACGACCATCCAGTACTTCTAGGTTTTTCATGATGGTCTAACTTCAATGGATTCGTGATGTTAATTATTGAAATTCATTTTATTAATGTCAAACAGAATTCGTTTCATTATTCTTATTGATGAAATTTATAAAACAAACAATAATTAGACAAGAAGTGGATATTTAGCCTGATAAATGGGAAATTAGCATAAAACATAGTGTTTTAAAACAATCAAAAATAAGTGTCATCGTCTATGTAAGATTTAACTGGTTAACGTTTCCTAACCAGGTCGCGAACCCCATGCTCAACCCCCCCTTTATCAGGCTTGGTGCCGGCAGTAGCCCCAGAGGGGCTTCAGGTAGAGGTGTAAGATTTAATTATTTAAAATTTTACCTCTGGCTGGATAGATTTTTACACTCAAAGTTAGGATCAGAAAGGTTTTTTGTGAATATTACAGTAGTTTTAATAGGTGAGATTATGATTCAATTGAAACTAGACCATCATGAAAAACCTGAAAGCACTGGATGGCCGTTTCATCCTATTGTTGAACTCCTCAGCAGTGCGAATCCAAGATCTCACCTCGCAAGATTCCAACCTAGGACCTATTGGCCTTATGCGAGATCGCTTAACCTCTAGACCACTGAACTGGAACCACATACTACGACGAAACAGTCATCCAATGCTTTCACGTTTTCCATGATGATCTAACTAAAATTGACTCATGAATTCAACTAAATAAATAAAAGTTAACTATCAAATAAATCTTAGTAATATGAGTCTGTAATTGTACAATCACACAATCATAATACATTTTTCGATCAAAGTTCAACAAATTAAGCTTGTTATGTAATATGAGAGGTGATCTAACTATGTATTATTAATAATAATAAGCCGACATAATTCAACCAATATGTTATACAAATAATATATTGAATGATATAAAAAAATGGATGAATAATTGAATGAAATATGGTACGAAAAAAAGGAGAAGAACAAGTGAATCAAATCAATAGTTAATAAAATAATCAATAATTGAAATTTTAAAGTTCATCTTCAATTTTGTTTTATTGTTTTTCTAGGTGATTTACGTTGACTCTTTAAATGGATATACACAATTGATGATGAAAGTACAATGAGAATGTGTACACATCATCTAACTATCTGAACAAGAGATTTGTTTGATTTATGCAGATCAGTTAAGGGCTTGAATATATTCTTTAAAGTTATGTTCTCCGCCTGAGGTTCCTCTGGAGCTACTGCTGGTCCCAAGCCTGGATAAACGAGAAAGGTTGGGTACGGGGTTAGAGATCCCATCTCATTGAAAACTAACTCGCTAAAAAACATTAGCCACAAGCATGTAACATGATTGAACAGCTCACTGACTAAATCTCTTTTTTAAGATTATATAGTGGTTGGAGGTAGTCAACAGGAAACCTTGGACCTGGGTTTCGTGCTACTTGGCACTCATCAGCAAGGTGTACCTATAATCTTGAGGGAGCTGGTGCCCCCTGGCGGATTCGATCACATATCACCCAGCTTCACAGTCATTGACGTTACTACTGAGCTATCCGGGCAGCGACCAACCTCCTATAGGACTGACACGTAATCACAATTGATTGATCACTGGGTAGTGACTAAAGTCATGTGTGTCAAGTCCTTATTAGTGCAGATCGAATGCTATCTTTTGTAGCTAATTGAACGGAAACTATTACGATTAAAGGTTTCAAACATAGAGATATGAACAACTATCCGGGAAATTTTTTAATTCGTTAAAAATTGTTGTCTTTTATTAATCCATAACTTTGAACTAAACCTAACATTAGTTAAGATTTCTCTGATATAAAGAATATATGCTAGTCTTTTATTTAATGATTGAAACGTTGGAATCATTTAGATTTCGATCGTTTAAAAGATTCAAATATATTTTGTTCACATCTAATAACTTCTATGTACTCAGTCACTTAATTTCTATAAAATTGAACTAATCGTTAAAATTTCAAAAAGTGTCCATAGAGATTAATACTATCGTGACTTGTTTAAATATCTGAGCTACCTGTTCCTGGTATCTGACTATTTCAATAAGTTATCTTTTGCTTGTTTGTTTGAACACTCTTAAATACTAATTTTGGCAAATCTGTTATCTTTTTAGAAGTTTTAAGCAATTAGTCCATTTTGCATATTTCGATAGAACAATGAAAAGATGGAGTTGATCAGAAAATTGTGATTTATTTACTCTATACATTTCTTACAATCTGCTCACACATATATTTGTCAAAGTATTTTATATGGAAGTTAACAAGGGTCAATGAAATGAAGGTTCAAGTAAACAAAGTAGAAACTGTAAATTATAGAGAGAAAAAACTAACGTCGTTTAGAAAGAATAGGAGATTGTTTCATTATCCTAGGCCATAAGGTGATATACGGATTATTAGGGGGTTTTAATTTATAAATAGACTGGGATTCAATAAACCTGAGAATTAGTCCTTGACAATTTCTATACCAAGTTTTAAAAGCTCTACTGATGTCAATTCTGTGACCCGTTTCAGTTATGTACTTTGCTATCGATGAACATGGTTTTCTACTTTCAACGTTTATTGGAACATTTGACATTAACTGATACTGAACCCATTTAGACACATTTTCCATAACCCTTGATTAGAATGTTTTGATTAATCCTCTCTATGTATGTGTGTTCACACAAACATGTGAATTGATCAATGTAATGGGATGTGACGTCATCCTTCATACATTGTGTAGGTCTATTTGAACCATAGCCTTAGTTCTTCAACTCAAAAGTGCTTTAGCAGCATAATACGTCTACTCAGTAACCGCTTTTGGTTTCTACCTAACAACAATGCTGTTAGATTCACATCTAATTGGTACGTACTTACGTCAGTTACTCCCCGTAAAGGAGTATAGGCCGCCAAAAAGGATTCTCAGTCGAACTCTGTTCTGTGCAATACTTTCAAGTTGTTTCCACTTGCTATTTATCCCTTTCATGTCTGCTTCAAATTCTCGACGCAATGTGTTCTATGGTCTTCATCTTTTCCATTTCCCTTTACGATCCGAAATTATGAGTACAGATGTTATAAAACGTCAACAATCTGTGTCATCCTTTACTTCACACCATTTTGTTACTAGATGGTCTGATACAAACCACTTGTAAGAGACAATCTTAGCCTTGCTTTCATCAGCTCAATATATTTTGCTGCTCGAATAAGATACCACTGACTGAGAAAGTGAAGAGACTTCTGTTGTTACCTAGTTAGAAAGCTGGTGAAAGCTATACCAGGAATTTGAGTACTAACAATGAGGAAAATGAGAGTGATGCAAGTTCTGTTTCAGGGGCTGCCTAACACTCGACTGCAAAACGTGAAAAAGGAGAATCACCTTTGGAACGAATAAGGATGGTTATATGTGGTGTTTGAATTAACTAATGATTCTTTTGTACTTGTTGAATGCTCGATTTCGAATTCTAAATACAGTACATTCGTTGTGCCTGTGTCTTCTTAATTCAATTGCGTTAATCCTGGAATTCCTAATTCATACTATAATTAGAATACTATATTGGCGTCGCGAAGGAGCCTGCAATGGAAAAGTTAGATATTCATTCAACTTCGGAAGCTTTTGAAGATTACTTTGAAAGGTTCGAAATCTGGGCTATGACCAAGGAAGATGATGAGGATGTTAATATTGTGGCACACTTCCTCACATTCATTGGAAAAGAAGCATACAGCTTATTAAGAACTCTGGCTATGCCGGAAAAACCCATTTCGCTTTCTTATACAGCTCTCAAGGATCTACTGCTAGACTATGCTCAGTATACAAATTTCAAATGTCGTAAAGGAGGAAGATTTCGTAAAATGATTCATGAGGATATAAAAAAGTCCACTACATTACTACGTCATCTCAACCTAGTGCATACTCAAGGTTATGCAGACAATTCATTGAATTTGGATGCAGTTCACGAGGATGGGGACAAGTTTGGTCAGTGTTTGTCCTGTTGCAAGTTCCACTCTTCTAATTCATGTAAATTTCATAATTCTAAATGCTTCAAATGTCGTGATATTGGACAAGTTCAGTCAGTTTGTAATGCTAATGTTCATCTTACTGCAATTAATATTAAATCTTGTAATTCTGATTCTACTGAGTCGAGTATTCATGATGATCATTTATCTTTATCAACGATTTCAAAAGACAGTGCAGAGTCATATGGCAGTTCAGAGTTAAATGAAATCCAGAATTCTTGTGAGACAACATTTCCTAATCAACCGATTTATCAGAATTCTCATGCTATTGTACCAAGTATGACTTTTCCTAATGATTCACATATTTCTAATGAAATTACTTGCAATTCTGAGGAAAATATGTTAAATGAATGTAATCATGATCGAAAACCTGATGTGGTTTGGATAGATGCTGATTTCTCTAACGATCCTACGCTCTGCAACGACAGTCCTGATGAATTTCATGAGAATATTTCAGAAGAATCAAATCCTGATGTCATATCATATATTACCTATCCTCATAATGTATTTGATCTTCGTGAAAAACCTGCCCAATGCGAAGCACGAGTACTAAGTGACCTCGAGTTTTATTATATTTCGGATGATTTCATATCAACTGCTGTTTACTCTTATCACAAAAACAGTTCTAATGTTTACTCTAAACAATGTGAGATATATGTTTTAAATGAAGCCACATTATTCATAACTTGGGAGTATAAAGATCCAACATTATTTCGTGGGTGGGGATAGTGTTGAAAAATCTATGGTTCGAATTCTAGATATTAATGATTTCATTACAAAACCGACATGTTGATTGTATACAATTCCAGGTGAGTCTGTTCCGATTTCGTTTGTTAATTCCTATACTAATGAGCACTTTCTAGATACTACAAAGTTTTATCTTATACAATGTCGGACAGACTCAGGATGAACTTAACAAGAAGACGTACAACCGATTACAAACACTTATACTTCTATTTAAGCTGTGGCGGATGTGGTGTTTGAATTAACTAATGATTCTTTTGTACTTGTTGAATGCTCGATTTCGAATTCTAAATACAGTACATTCGTTGTGCCTGTGTCTTCTTAATTCAATTGCGTTAATCCTGGAATTCCTAATTCATACTATAATTAGAATACTATATTATATCACTAAATGTCACTGATTTTGACTCCAATTTCGAATCTGAAAGCCTATATAAAACCATCAGCTTTCCAAATAGTCCTGATGTGACTGGTCAGAGTGAAGAGAAGAGAACAGAGGTGAAGGAACTAGGAAGAAAAAAAGGTCCTTTCGACAACGCATGGCCGACTAGACCAGTCTTTTCTAGGGTCTATTTTTCAATCACAGTATACTCGTCTATGGTTCCAAAGTCTGGCTGGATTTAACCGCAGAGTAAACAAAGAAAACTTGACGTTTTCAAACATTTTGGGCGAGACTCTAATTTACGGATGATCTTTGAACGAATCTTAAGCAACCTTGAGAAATATTAGCCAATCAGCAAACAGTCAGTACACAGTAAAATATATGTTATACAAAACGAAGGAAATAAAGTAGATACACTTCTTATACATGGTTCAAAAACTTGTCAAGGTTAGAAAGAGGTTCAGAGGTTCTAAAATCGTAATGCATGAAGCATAGAAAATCATCCATACGGCTACATAATAGTCGACCTCTGGAGCCATGATAAAGTCTCAAAAACCCTCAGTTTCGACCACATAGTTTCAATATTATTTATGTGCACTCCGGTTGTTGAGTGCACAAAATGCTTCTTGTGGACAACGATACGATGCACATAACCAAGCCTATGTAGGAGACTACGCTCTCCAAACATCTATATATATTGTAGTACCTGCCTGCAGCCAGGGTTATTTGTGCTTTTATCATCCAGTTCGCAATAATTTTCGTAATTTGCCTTAGTAATTATATAAGGGGTTTTCATCACGAACTGACACCAGCTATAATGCCAGAAAGTTGTTTAGCCAAATTGATGGGAGGCTTTCGGCTTAAAATCCGAGACCTATTATCTTATACCTGAGTGATTCGTCCACAAATTATACTCTCGCCGTTTCATTTGTTATAGCTGCTCGATCATCACGTTTTGTACGAAACACCCTGTGAACCGATTGTACGTCAGCCTTAAGCACTGAAGTTGGATCCGTAACCTTGAAATCTCTAAAACGCCTCTGATTGACTCGTCCATAAATTAGAGTCTCGCCACATTTTGAGTAATAAAACCAAATCTAAGAACACAGAGCAGAAACTTAAATGCGCACATGATTTGGAAAGGGTCTAGATGTTTGTTTTAGAGTTTTACTAAACAATTGTACAGATGTTCAGATAGAAAATTTGATAAGAATAGACAAAGTTACTGAAGAAAATGTTAACCCATACCGTGTGAACTTCTCAGGGCGGTCCTAGGGTAGAAGGTACAAATGAACCTTTTGTTATTAAGTAGTCAATATAACGTTAACATTCGAGTGAGGCTTGATATTCCTTTAGTGTTATGAGCAAAATTAGATGCGACTCCAGCTGAACTAGAAACTTGTCGACAGAACAGCGGAAAAGACTCTCGTTTCATCGATTTTTGGGCGGTCAGATCTTGCGAGCAAATGCCGATTGCTGAATTTAATTCATATATCATATATGTTTAGTGGCCCGTGGATCTGACTCCTAAATAGTACGAATGTTTGTTATCGCCTATTCTCGTATATAATCGTCGACTTAAATCACGTTAGCCAATAACGGAATTAAATAAGTCGGATAACGAGAATTGACTTGTGAATACATGTATTTTGTATATGAAGCGAATGAGACAGAGCAAAGCAAAATGACACGCAGGGGAGATGGCTGGGAAGCCAACTCCATTTTAGTCAAGTGTTACTCAATATTTATAGTCAGACAAAGGTAAGCTACAGACATACAGATACGTGATTAATGGGATATGAAGAGTATACACATATACGCTCATATAAAAACAGTGAAGAGCGATAAGCGAATAATTAACAAGATCAGCATATGACTCAAGTAGGATGAATAGAATGGGATGTCCGAAAGCTAGAATAAGGTATATGGGCTTAGGATAATAACTGACGCTACATATGTTACTAAAATTTATTTAATTTGTGACCCTGATGTAATATTGTAGTCTAAGTATTTGAGATGCTGCTTTGTAGCTCGCGTTAGGGACTTGATCAGAATAGACTTCACCGAAATGTGTAGAGAGCAAATGTAACTGCCATAAAGGAATGAACTGCTGCAACGGAATGGCCGGTGGTCAACTGAAGAAGTATGGCCTATATTTAGATGAACTCAATTACGTCACAATCTATACTACGCTTGGTGTCACTGTAAGTCATAGGATGTTTTGATACTGACTTACTGTAAAGATGTCGTTGGTATTATTATTTCTTAACGTTTCCCTCTGTCTCGAACTGATCATGTGAGAGGACATTCTAAGAAAGTTCAGAAGCTGGGATTAAACAGCTTATAAATGCAACTAAATTTTTCCACGTCAAGTAGTGAGTTGTCTAAGTTCTCCATCGAGACGTCAGCATATCCTGCTGATTTACTCAAAACAAGATTGAGTCTACAAGTTACGAGAAACTGCGAAGCTTAGTACAACTAAATTGACTACCTATACTCATCACAGAATTCTGAGGTAGCTTATCCATCAATGTCCTTATCTAGCCTCGATCTCACGTAAACCTCACATCTGAGTCTTTTTCAAAAGACTTTCAACTTGTGGGGGATGTCTAACTTTCCTTAGATGGTTGGTCTTGGAAGACTAAAATGTTTTCCCTTAAACCCTGCACATTCCGTCTAAGAATGTCACTAACACTTCAAGAAGCGCTTCCACTGAGTATAATGCTTACAATAATTGAAATCAAACTTTTCATCAAATGTTGAATATTTGGTGGGCTTCTACATTGAGTAAAGTTGTAAAGCCACGTCTGTTTAACAGTATTAGGGGCACTGTTAAGTCACGACTAAAAAAACTGCGTGCTGCAATCAGCAGCTGCCAAATGTTTGCATGTATCATGGTTTAACATGGACACGTTTCGTTATTTATATACCACCTGTGTGTTGTATCCCAGCAGCTGATCTACCTCTTATTAAGGAAACTAACACACTTGGGCATGTTCAACTTCTGGGAACAAAATTAGTGGAAGGTCTCTCCAAACTTCCTCATGATTAACACTCAAATCTCAAAATTTTCCTCTTATCGTATTATAACGAGCGAGGTGACCTTATTTTAGCGCTACGTATCTTTATTTACGATTTACTTGGTAATACGTCTTATCCCTTCGCTACCTCCAGCATTATTAATCTTCGAAGCTACAGCAAGGAGAGGTGAAATTATAATTTATGGACGACCTTTGAGGGATGCTAGACTGACCTTTAGGATATCCACTTAACTACTGGGGTCAAACGAGGGTTAAAGCTATGTATGAGGAATTGGAATTATAATTTACGGCTGATGATTAAGGTCAGAAACTAGATTTCTGGTTTTCATCATGAACTGACATCAGCTATAACGTCAAAGCTATATTTACCGAAATGGATGAATGAATTTCGCGCCAATATTCAAGATCTGTTATCTTATACGTGAATGGTTCATCCACAAATTATAGTCTCTCCCAAGAAGGTTTATAAACAGCAATCTAACAAGCTTATAGTTGGGATCCGCTTTATCATCTAGTGGTTAATGACTAGAACGCATTACTTACAAAAAGTGGCATCCATCCCATCAGTGAACATTTTCAAGGAGAAGCTGAATCTTTGGTGGAAAAGAAACAGTGAGGATTGAAATAGGACCATCTATCTACTATCCTTAATTTTTGAAGACTGAAGCTGAATCAACTTTCAAGGTCATTGTTGACGGATTGGTTTACATAATGCCATGACGATTTGTAGCACTATTTTGAACAGACGAACCTAATGTTTCCAAGCGATTACAAGTAACAAAAAAAAGAAAACTTGGTGAAATTTTTTCAATGATGCGAAATAGCACCTCGATTTCTATTCGAACGCCTATGCGTTCTAAAAGTTTTTCTCCTCATCGATCGCGTGAGTGGTGATAAACTTTAATTTGTTTTGATTATAGTAAGAAAACATGCAATCGAAAAATATGGAAAAGCAGTAACAGGGTTTTCACTTGACACCTCATCGTAAGTAATTATACCTGCTTGTCGCAGCTTCATAGAGATCTAGAAACAAATTACCGAACTATGAGGAACTTAGAAAATGAATATATTAAAAGTCTGCAACAACAGATTTATCTTTTGGAGCTTGAGAACAACTATATTCGACATCAAGCCGCCGAAGTAATGGATAAACAACCTTTGATGGTTTGTGAGGCATCTAATTCCCTGAAAAAGCTCAAAGTACGTGTGTGAATTATTGGGTGCTATATACTCTATCTGAATAACTCACTTTTAAATTACATTGGTTGCTTAACCTTTAAGTTTGCATTAATAACAACAGATCGTGCACTTATTATAAGTTTTGAATTGTAGGTGGTAGTGATTAGGTTTGCCTAATGTATCTCTACGTGCTTTCCGAAGATGAAAGCATCTGATTTAACCAAATGCCATTACCCTTTAACTTGTCCATAACTAACACATTACTTAAGACTCATCCATGAGTCATGGATACAGTCAAACTAAAACCTTTTCTCATTCCCCTGGTCCAAAAGCTTCTAAGATGTGACCGACAAGACTGGCTAATTCTAGAGTAATTACAGATT